AACTCTTGTTCCTTTTCTTATAAACATCACTTTAGCCCTTCAAACACACTCGTCACATGCGATCTATCCTAACCTATGTCCTCACAAACCTCATAGTTGCGGTTCTTCATCAGCTTGCATGCATGCAATGTCGTTGCAAAGGTGACTATAACCTATTGACGGGCCATGTATGCTCGAAATACATGGGCTTTGGCTTGACAAGACATGCTTCATACATTTCTACTTGCCCCACATTACTCGCCCACTTGAATTTCCAGTAATCCACCACCGTTATTGACCTCTCCAACATCACTTCCATTGCATCCAACCCATCAACCGACCCTACACTCTCTAGCATGTGCTGGTCAAACTCATTAAGCCTACCTACTAGGACAAACTCACCACTCGACCTACCTACACTCTAAAAAGAATTAGCAACTACCCTAGTGGACACATGGTCTAACCTCTATGCTTTTGTGAACGATTGTGAATTAAACACGAATGACCCATTTGAGTCCTTTCCAATCAACTGCTCATTTTCTACCTCTCTAGAGCCACTCACTCTATGCCCACAAAAGGCCTTCTAAATCAACGGCCCTTAGGGAAACTTGACCATTTTCCCTTTGTCTCTATCACTCACACCACCCCATCATCCAACACTACTAATTCTAGCTCTGATCTTCCACCAACCATATTTACTTTAACATCCTCCTTTCCAACATCCCCTTGGGCACCATTATATGACTTATTCACCTTTATCCTTACTATCGTATCCTCAACAATCTGCCCTCCACTAGAACTCCCCACCTTTAATTTTTAGGACATTGGCGAGCTTGCCTATGCCAACACCACTCCACCCCTATCTCTCAACTCAACCTTCCTTGCTAAACACGACACAAAATGACCCACCATCTTCGATGACCTAGCCACCTTCTGTTTCCTAACAAATAGAGCCATAACCTCCTCATCCACACCCTTGGCCCCTATCATCAGCCCTCACTTTTCAATGTTAACCTTGAACCTAACTTTCATATGCCTCTACATACTCTCCCTTATCAAATCTGCAACAAACACATCACACATCAATGAGCCAAACAAAAACACAATAATATCATAAACTTATTACAACATACACACATACCTCACATAACCACCTCTAGATTACTAGCACCAAGCAATGCCAAGACCGCCTTCATGTCCAACGAACAGGGTAAATTCACCAACTCCAAACACTCATTCACCTTAGTCTTAGTGATTCCTATCCCCTTCTCCCCACTAAACCTATAGGGATTTTTTTTATCTAGTACAATGAAAACTTAAACACCTCATCTGTTCCATAATCCCTTTCATAACCCATAATAGCTTCAATACAAACTAAATCAATCTTGAAACCTTTAAATGATTGAGCAAACAAGCTAAACAAGGTTCTTCTTTACCACCCATTCAATGACATCAACCCTAATGGCAAACTCACCTTCAACTTGTAGAAGTACATAAAATTTCCAGCGTTGGCTCAATCCTAACATATGTACACAACACCTAGAATGCCCTAAAAAATGCCTAACTATTCGGATGAAGTTGACACGGTGCAATGTTCGTATTTCTCAAAAAAGCATATTCAAGCTCATTAAATAGAAGTGATACCTAGATGTCTTACAACACACATCAATACATATACATGAAAGATTGAGGACACATCTCCTCACCCAAGTACACCGAGTCATCCTCGGTACACAACTGCACCATAAACAAATGTGTGCTGCTCGACATCAACAACTCACATTTATCAAGCAACGATAGCATAGCCTCTTCCATTTGAAGCTGACTCTCATACCAATCAACCTCACGCTTAATCCATTTGTAACCCTTAACATCTAGAGGACCTATCACTTTGTCGTCACCCACTCCCTTCGACTAATAGTCCACAACTTCTTCAACCTTAAACCCTAAACCCTCCTCCATGTAAAGTTGACTCTCATACCAATCAACCTCACTCTTAACCCATTTGTAACCCTCAACGTCCAGAGGACCTATCACTTTGTCATCACCCGCTCCATTCGACTACGACTCCACAACTTCTTCAATCTTAAACCTTAAACCCTCCTCCATGTCAAGTTGACTCTCATACCAATCAACCTCACTCTTAACCCATTTGTAACCCTCGACATCCAGAGGACCTACCTTTCTGTCATCACTCGCTCCCTTTGATTACAACTCTACAACTTCTTCAACCCTAATCAATATAGGTTCCACCACCACCACCCATTACACCATGTCAGCCAAATCACCCCTATGCCATCTACTCTTAACATATTACCTCCAACAACGACTTCAATACCCTCTTGGCAACCTCATTACCTCCTGAAAAAAATTGATATCACTAGCCGATAATAGTAAACGACTCTTGCCCATAGTCTCACACAATAAACACATATCAAATGTGCGAATGAAAAAAGGGCAATGAAGAAGAAGCACAATACTTGCTCCACTGGCCTTAGAAAGAAAACCAACCACAAAAGTCTACAAAACTCCAACTGAAACTAACAACAAAAGAAAATCCCTCTAACTTCTTCAATAATAACCACTACAAACCTCTCTCTGAAACTTAAATGTCACGATTCAAAACAACACTCCTAATGAAAGGCCCAAATTTGTCCATGTAACACACAACTCGCACAAGAAACCATCACATAATCGTCCACCACACACTTAGCACATGACAACTCCATAAGTTCCTTCTCTCTTGTAGAGCTCGAAATTGGGGGCATATGTATTACATGGCTTAGGCATGCCATGTTGAGTTGATTTGACTAGCTCAGCTACATCTGGTCAAACTTGAACAAACATACCCATGATACGATAAGCTAAGACGATATTAATGCCCCAATCCCAAAAATATTGGAACATGTTAAAGAATAACAAGGAAATATTATCTATTAGAAAATATGGTTTAACCAAGATGAAGAGTTAATTGGTTATTAAAATTTCTTTCTGAGTCTTCTTGGTTTTGAAAAAAAAAATTCTAATATTTTTCAAAGAAGTATATTGATATATAGTTGTATATAGGATATGATATTGAGATTACATGCAAATTCAAATTCAATTAGTCCTATATACAATGTTCATGTTTCATATCATGCAACATCAAACATATAATCAGATTTGAAAGAATGTAAAGATAGGTGTAGGGATAAAGAAAAATGCATAGCCAATTTATACTAGTTCAGTTACATCCACTTTTGACCTACATCCAGTCCCCAATCAATCTAATTGAGATTTTTTACTAATCTTTAATGTTAAAAGTTTTACAATCACAATATCACATGCAATACACTTCTATACCATTAAAGAAATCACTTCTTACACCCAAAGAAACACTTAGTTGTAGCACTCCACTACAAGATTTCCTTTTCCTAAGAGACCTACTTAAGAAAACAAGTCAAAAGATTAAAGAATGAATTCACCTAATGTACATAATATATCAAAGTAGGTGAATCAAACCAATGTAACTTAGTCTATAACTTCATGAAGATGATATACGATCAAGTTAATTCTTGAGTCCTTTCTTGAGGTTTCCACAAAGGATATCAAACCTCTTCTTGCAAAGAGAAATATTTTTCTCAAAGAGTATTTTTGAAAGTAATATCACAAAGAATCAAGTTCTTTGAGTTCTAAATGTGAAAATGATATATAAATTTTTCTAACAGAAGTATTTGATTATTTACATAGTTAATCGATTATTTGTTCTTTGTAAATTTGGAAATCAACAAAGAACATTTTTAATTGATTATTTTGAGTGATAATCGATTATTTTATAGACATGTTTATGAAATAACTGATTATTTGTTGAACAATCAATTATTACAATAAAGTTTCCCAAGTTATTGAAAAATAAAGTAAATAACCGATTATTACTTGAGATAATAAATTATTTTAAGTAAAAACTTAATATCTCGATTTTTCATACCAATTCTCTTTTCAAATCATTTTTAAAACTTCTTTTCATCATTAAAAATCATCTAGATAGAGACATGAGACTAAGTTACCTACAAAGCACAAAACATACAAACAATAAAGCTTAAACATACAATAACATACAATTTGCACTCTTTTCTTTTAAGATACTTGTGTGTGTAATCATCAAAACCAAATATGCTAAGTTTTCATTTTGAACTTGATAAACAATATCTCCATACAATAAATCCTATACACAATCATGGGGACACCCCATAATCACTATGTAAGACCATCTTCTTAAATTACGCGACAAACATACATATAGGGACATTAGGTATCATTTTAACCTAACTTAATTCTTCACATATAATTTCTTCTAACTTGAATGTCGAAGTGTCTTTGCAGGTTTTTCTCCAACCTCCTGCCATAAATATTAGAGCAACATAGGTTTTGCATTTTCTTGGGAGCACTTCGAGAACTCTAGTACAAACACCCCTCAAATGTGAAGAGGAAAACAACTCACAATCATCTATTTTATTATCTTTTAGTTTTATCTTTAATTTTTAAAAAAATTAAGAGACATCAAATGCCTCTTTCCTTATCAATACATAATAAATGCAACATTTAAAAATAAAAAACGGATTCAGCCCATTTTAGGAGCCCGTATGAAACGGGCCAATAGCAAGCCCAATAGTCCAATACCCGCGTGTAACAGTGTGGGGGGGCATAGCGAGTAAAAAACAAAAGCGTAAATTCACCAACAACAACGAATGCTGCCGTTGTGTTGTGTTGTGCTGTGTTCGGGGGTAGGTAATGGGGCCCACATAGGAAACGCGTTGTGTCGTGACTCGTGATGCAGATGTGGTGGCCACGACATGATTCATCTCACTCCACCCACCGACGCCACCGTGTCACACGGCTGAGATTCGTCCCCCAGATCCAATCTCGGCCGTCCACGTGGACACCACGCACAAACGAGTTATGAATCTAACCCAGATCTTGCATCATAGGGGCATTTCCGTCTTTCAACGCTCTCCAACCACCCCTTCAAACCTATGCCTATAAATGGACACCCAAGTCTCACGTTTGGACTCGCACCGCTTGAGCAGACTTAACAACAGCACAAAGCGGGTTCTGTCTGTTCAAGCTAACCCCTTCTCTCTCTCACACCATACGCTTCTTATCTTAGTGCCTCTTTGCAAGGTACTGTTATTATTGCCCTTTTCTTTCTCTCTTCGTCTTTCCGTTGGGTTGGTTTTGTTCTGTGGTGCACGTGTTTTTCACTCGCTACAGATCTCAAGTGTTCAAGTTTGGATTTTGTGCTTCTGGGTCGGTTTCTTTTGCTTTTTCCCCAACTGGGTCGGTCTTCGTTTGTTGAACCGGGTTTAACTGAATGTGACTCGCGGAAACAGAAGCCTGATCTGCATTTTTGCCTTGCTGGTTTCTCGAATTGTGTGGGAATTCGCTTTGGGGTTTTAGATCTGGGGGAATTGATGTGTCGCATGTGACAGTTTTTGATTTTTTTTTCTTGATTTGGTTTTAATTTGGCAAGATGGGGTGGTTTCCCACGAAGGGTTTTGTGCTAGATTTAGCAAATGAGCAAACTTTGAAGTTGGGGTTTGTTGGTTTGACCTTATTTTAGAGGCATGTTTGGAAGTGAAATTTGGGTTAAGTTATGTTTAATTGTGGTCATGATTTTGATTTGTCTTTGTGAATTGGCAATTGGGTCCTAATTCTGTGTTCTTGTTTGATGTTACTCTACAGGAGCAATAAAAATGGCTCAGGAGACTTTCCTATTCACATCCGAATCGGTGAACGAGGGTCACCCTGACAAGCTCTGCGACCAGATCTCTGACGCTGTGCTCGATGCGTGCTTGGAGCAGGACCCAGACAGCAAGGTTGCTTGCGAAACCTGCACCAAGACCAACATGGTGATGGTGTTCGGTGAAATCACAACCAAGGCCAACGTGGACTACGAAAAGATCGTGCGTGACACATGCAGGAACATAGGATTTGTGTCTGACGACGTTGGTCTTGACGCCGACAACTGCAAGGTCCTAGTCAACATCGAGCAACAAAGCCCTGATATCGCTCAAGGTGTCCACGGTCACCTCACAAAGAGGCCAGAGGAGATTGGTGCTGGTGACCAGGGTCACATGTTTGGCTACGCCACTGATGAAACCCCTGAGCTCATGCCCTTGAGCCACGTGCTAGCCACCAAGCTCGGTGCACGTCTCACTGAGGTTCGGAAGAACGGAACATGCCCTTGGTTGAGGCCTGATGGCAAGACACAAGTCACTGTTGAGTATTACAATGACAAGGGTGCCATGGTTCCAATCCGTGTCCACACTGTGCTGATTTCAACTCAGCATGATGAGACTGTGACAAACGATGAGATTGCTGCTGATCTCAAAGAGCATGTGATCAAGCCCGTGATTCCTGAGAAGTACCTTGATGAGAAAACCATTTTCCACCTTAACCCTTCTGGGAGGTTTGTGATTGGAGGGCCTCATGGTGATGCTGGCCTCACTGGGCGCAAGATCATCATTGACACCTATGGAGGGTGGGGTGCACATGGTGGTGGTGCCTTCTCAGGAAAGGACCCTACAAAAGTGGATAGGAGTGGTGCTTACATTGTGAGGCAGGCTGCAAAGAGCATTGTGGCAAATGGACTTGCTAGGAGGGCCATTGTGCAAGTTTCCTATGCCATTGGTGTGCCTGAGCCTCTTTCTGTGTTTGTGGACACTTATGGCACTGGGAAGATCCCTGACAAGGAGATCCTCAGCATTGTGAAGGAGAATTTTGACTTCAGGCCTGGTATGATCTCCATCAACCTTGATCTCAAGAGAGGTGGAAATGGCAGGTTCTTGAAGACTGCTGCTTATGGACACTTTGGAAGAGATGACCCTGACTTCACATGGGAAGTGGTCAAGCCACTCAAGGGTGACAAGGTATCTTCCTAAGTAAAGGAAAGTATTTGTTGCAAGTTGCAACACTCTTGGCAAAGGATCTTCTGCACACTGTCTAGTGTCTACTGGCTTCTTAGTATTTTCATTACTAAAATTTTATCCATGTTTCTTTCTTTCTTTCCCCCCTTTACTCAATTCTGTTTTTGGGTTTCTTTTTTTGTATTTTTTATGAATTTTTTCTTTTTTGTGTACTTGTATGTGTTCTTCGGAACATATATATTTTACATGGTGAACCGAAATATATTCTCTCAGGATTTGTGCTCAAAATATGTAATAATATTCTCAAGTTAAAGGGAGTATACAGTTTAATATGTTAATTGCAGTAGTTCATCCAATGAATTCATGTTTATTCTAGATTTACCAGGAAAAAATGGTCACTCATGTGCAATATATTTAATAATGTAAAATCTATATGATTCACAATATAACATAGGAATATACAGTAGCTTTTACAACAAATAACAGCCAAGCAAATGTTGTCGGTGGGATATTATGAACTGGCAAATGGCAAATCTCCTTGGTAACGTGGTGTCAAAGTGATGCTATTTTTGAAAGCCTAGTGTTAATTGAGAAGCAAAAGATGAGAAAAGTTTGTTTGGTTAAAGGGTTAGTTTGGTTTTGCTATATGGTCCTAAGAAAATGTAGCTGAAAGTGGTAATTGCATTTTTGTGTTTTCCGCAAGGCATGGAGATTCTTCAAAGTGAAAAGCACATTGTAGTTATGCTTGCATTGTTTAACCGAAGTCCCTCTTAGTCAGTGATTACTGATTAGTTGGTAGGGAACAGTACCGATTGTCGGGGAAGGAGTTATAAATGTGTTAGAACTTAGAAGATCCGAGATCCGTTCCATTGAAGTATTACTATATATGAGAGAGAACTTTCATGTTTTGTGTGGCAATCAACTTAAATGATAAAAATACAAGAAAATAAAAGGCGGAAGTTGAATTAGTTTTTTTATTTCGTCCTTCCAAGGCCAATAGCAGGAGGCACCCTATACACAAGATAGGATTCGAACTCCTGACATTACTTAAGCGTAGATCAATCTCTACCGCTGAACTACACACTTGGAGTTAGCTGAATTAGTTTTTGAATAATGTTAAGTAAATTTTCAACATTGTATGAAAAAGAGAATTAAATATAAAAGAATACATATAAGAAAGATGATACAGAGACAAAAAGAGAATTATATAAAAAATATATATAATTTAAGAAAGATGTTAGAGAGAGAAAATGAAGGGAACATGTAATATTGGTTGAGAAAATCAGGTGTATTAATCCATTAAAAAAAAGGGTGAGATAGATGGTTTGCTAAGAGTGAATGCAGATGAAAAAAATGAATATTCGTAAAGAAATTATACTTGTATAATAAATTAGAATAAATAATTTGATAGAAAAAGATAAATATAACAATAAAGTATAAATAATTATAAGTGTCGTATATCTTATATTTATAACTTGTCTTATATTTATAATCTGTTTTAACAAGTGTATTAGTCAACGGTTAATAAATAATAAATTGATATGTAAAATATCATCTCTTAGACACTACAAGAAAATTGACATATAGTGACACACACCTTATAGCGACACTATATATGTTACTAAAAATTACTTTTACCTACACAATAACTACAATATATGTTGGCATATTATTAAAAAGTATGGGTATAAGCTATAGTGACACACAAAATATGTTAAATCTCATTCAAAATCAACACTAAAATTGTGTGTAACTATATGTCAAATAGACATATACCTACATATATTATACTTATAGTGACACTTTTTGTATGTTACTATATGTAACATTTCTTGTAGTGAGAGATTAAGATAAATATTATTATGTGTTAATACTTAATAATATATCCAAATTCATCATAAGTTAAAGTTTCCTCTCAATCAATTTATTCAATTCAATCAATATAATTTTTTAAAAAATACTAAAGAAACAAATAGAACAACTATAAAATGAATTGTTGACACAAGAAAAATAACATTTTCTTGAAACATAGTTGATAATCCTATATATAAATGCACTTTTGTTTTGTTCAATAACTTTGAAAATAAGAAGAATTATGTCTAGCTTCCTCTCTAACTACTTCTATAAAGTCTATGTTGACCTTTTATATATTCTTTGTTTTCAACCTAGTCAAAATGATTTCTTTTGTGAGTTGGACTTTAAATTTAATAGGGATTATGGTGTTGGAGCTAGAGATTAGTTTGTATGGTGTTTCTTGAGTGGTTGATTAAGATGTTCAATGATAAGCTCAAAGAACGCCAGGAAACTTGTATCCACTTTATAAGGTACTTTATGAAAACTACCAAGAATTTCACTTATCCCTTAGCTAGTAGAAAAGGGTTGAGGATTTCCATCTCCCAAATTGCTAATGACCAAAATGATTGCACATTATGAAGTTCTTCAAGTGGAGCTTAGTGTATATTACTATACTTTTGGCATTCCCTACCTTTCTTTACAAAATTGGAACTATACTTATTAGGAAATAAGAACACAAAACGAATATGAGATGGAAGATGGTTGTACCTACAAAGACACTTCTACACTAAATTTAGAGAGTGATCAGTCTAATAGTATATATGTATATATTTATTTTGACATACCTAATGAGAGGTGATAAAGGCATATTATATCGACAAGATAAGTTACCATGTAATGAAGAGTAATGAAGGTATTTTATTACTCCTTTTAAAGACTTGTAATAGTTGGATATTACTCGGCAATGCCTTCATAGATGGTCAACCACTCTTCAGCTACTAGTGAACGACTAGTCTACGCTCTTTGAAATTGGGGTGACCCTTCGATAAGAGATTAGATGCTTCGTTCTTTGAAATTCCTTTAGGATGATTTTTTTGGTAGCTTTAGCTTGTTCATTGGTCGACAAATGTTCTGTAGATTAAAATCAATGTCGAGTTGATAGGCCTCATAGAAAATCATTTAATCCTTTATTAGTGAACTACTAACCATTATCAGTAATTAAAGTGTGCAGGATTCCAAAATGATAAACGATATTCTTCCATAGGAATTTTTGCACATTTTGTGTTGTAATCTTGGCTAAAGGTTTAACTTCTGGCTACTTAGTAAAGTAATTAATTGCTACCAACAAGAATTTATGCTAAGCTTTCCTAGGAGGAAAAAGGTTGAGGATATCTATCTCTCACATGGCAAAAGGCCATGGAGATACCATGTTGTGAAGTCTTGAAGATGCCGAGTGTCTGAAATTACCATGTTTTTGATAAGATATACATTTTTTAACATACTTGACAAAATCATTCCAAATTGTAGGTTAATAATACTCAGCTCAAAGGACTCTTACCAACATTAATCATCCTTTTGAATGCATGCCACACATCCTCGGTGAATCTCATCCAACATGTATTCAGATTGTGACTTTGTGAGACATTTCTACAAAATGGGTAGAAAATCTTGTCTTGTATAATAATACAATAGTTGGTTTCTCAAAGTCAGAGATTTTGGGCTTCAATTGGATCTTCAGGAACTATATCATTTTTGAAATAAGCAATGATTGAGTCCATCTAGTATTTATCTTCTCTCAATTCCATCATCATAATGTTTGGGCTTGTAAGTGCTTACTTATAGAATTATCTTGTGCTGCTCAGGCCTTCGAGTACTAACTAGTTTGGACAATATGTTGGTTCATATGTTTTCTTCTCTAGGTATATGTTTAATATTGAAGTTTGAGAATTTATCCTTCAATCGAGTTACCAAATGATAATACTTCAATAATTGTTCATCTTCTATTTGATATTCTCCCTTCAACTATCCAACCATCAATAGATAGTCACTTCTACATAAAAACTTCTCAATTCCCATTTTAGCAGCCAAATTCAAATCAGCTATGAGATCTTCATACTTGGCTTGCTTATTTAATGTAAGGAAATCAAATTTATATGTTATAGTATGCCTAAAATGTCTCACATTGCTTTGATAAGCCTTAGGAAATTAATTGTAATAAAAGTTGATTTTATCTCTTTGATAAGTCTTGGGAAACAAGTTAAGAATATTGGTTGAGTAGTCATACGATATTATCACATTTTTTTAATGAATAAATTAGTAAATGATGTTATAATTTTATTTTAATGGCAAGATGATTTCTAGCAAGTTTTAGTTGTATTGGAGCTTTGATGACGACGACTCTATTGTGGAGTACTCTTTTGCTAGTGTCAAAGTGGGGGAGGGGGAAGCAAAAGAAGTTGAAGTAGTAGAAGAAAAAAATTGAGTACTATTTTAAGATATCCTTTTATAACAAGTGTTTTTTCTTTTGGCTTTTGAAACTTTGTTTTTAACGCTCTATCTTAAGGGATCTTTGTTTCAAACTCTTTTATATATTACTCTCATATACTTTGATATATGTTATGATGTGTGATGCTATATATATGTGCTCTACATATGTTGATATATTGTCTAAATTAAACACGATTATTTTTCATATGCTTAAATTTTGTTTTTTCAAAAATGTGTTTGTCTCCATCAAAAAGGGAGAGAATGTGAGATCAAAGGATGAATTATGACTCCTAAAATTTATGTTTTAATGATAACAAATACATATGTTTTTGTAAAGCATAAAAATACTATATTATAATATGATAGCATATATCATATAAAAATAACATACCAGACTAAGTTTTATGGATGTTCATATATCAGACTAAACATATTGTATGTCTCAAATGAATGTATTTATTATCATATTTATTATGTTTGATGTTTCTATCATCTATTTTCAACATATACCTCAACAAATCAAAGAAATAAAAACTTCTTTGGTACTTGGAACAACTAAAAAAGGACAATATTTTCTTTTCATTAGAAAAAGGACTAAAAGATCCCTTGAAATACAAAAAGTCAACTAAAAGTTTTTTTGAATTGATACATGCTACAATTCCTTACCCTTTGTACCTAAAATTGATAAGCAACATTGTTGATTAGATAAGAAGTGATCATTTGATAAAATACATTAAATAAAAGCATTAATTGCACCAATGGACACATTTTCACACAAGAAACAAAGATGAATCAAACCAAAAAGGAAGACTAAAGGATTTTGCAACAGCCGCCTTCCAGAACGACTTTTATAAGAAGCTTGGACAAGTTTAGAGAAGAGAACACAATACACAATCTCATTCTTTATTATATTCTTTTTAAAGAGATTCTTTGTACTAAAAATGTTTATCATGTCTTGTGCATAACATGATTTTTTTTAATCTTAGCTTAAAATTTGTGTTTTTGCTTGAAGCTTAAAGAAGTTTTGTTGTTTAAAGAACACTTGGTGTAGAATCTTGGAGAGACTTTGTTGTTT